GTCCCAGATTCCCCAGCCCGCATGCGGGCTGGGGAATTCTGGGAGTTAAAGTCCACCCATTTTTCAAGTTGCTAAGGTTGAGAAACACTGGCCTATCCCAATTCCAAGGGATTTCAGTGCAGTTACCTTAGCAACAGTATGGTAATTACTTGTGATGACCTTCTCTTGATACCTTCTCTGGGATCCCCTGGAAGTTTCCCATCCAAGTATTACCAAGCCCTGATCCTGCTTAGCTTTCCAGTCCTGTTCTGGCAAGGTCGTCCAGCTGCTGCTCCTTTCCGATACAGCCAGGAAATTGTCTTTAGCTAGGAAGCCATCAACACTGTTAGCTCTTGGGTGGGGAAGAAAGGTGTCAGAAGAGTTTTCACTCCTATCCTATTTGGGAGATTTCCCAGAAGCATCTGGTTGATAGTGTGGGCAAAAAGGATATTAGACAAGGGGGCATTTGATCAAGAGGCCTTCTGTTGGGTTGATCCAAAGTGTATCCCATTCCAGGACATGGAAAAGCCTCTACATTGACCTTGAATTGTTTCAGGCATATTTTAGAAATTTTAAAAAACAGAATTCTTTCTTTCTCCATAAAGCACCTCCACTGGGTAGGAGGGGGGGGGGGCATTTTAAAAACTGGTCCTAATTTTTTTACAAGGTCCACAAGAGACCTCTTGCGGTCAGATGAAATATTTCACAACCCTCCAAAAGGAAAAGGGAAAGAAAGAAGAGAAAAATCAGCTGTGGTTTGACAGTTGACCCTTTAAGATTTTTCTCCACTGCCTTGGCCCTCTCTAGTTAACCCTTGGTTAATAATAGATGGCAACATCAAACACATAATTTAGTCTGGTTGGCCGTTTAACAGGTTGGAAAATAGACCAGCTGGGACTAATTTTTAGCTTCCTTATTCAGTTCAGGGACTATGAGCGGAGAAATTTTGCAAAACATTAGACAAATATATTCAAAGGCATTGAGGCTAGCGAAGTTTAACTTCAGATTTATTTTATCGTAAAAAGAAAACAATGGATGCATTGCCTTGTTTCTTGGCCAAACTGGATAAAACATAGAAATATATTTGCCTTTCTGTAAGAATCAAACCTGTTAAGGTGTAATATAATAATAGTTGGAGCTTTCTAAAGAAAAGCATGATGTTTCCCTTTTTATTCTTTCTACCTAATGGAATATCAGAAAGACATTACATAAAGGGACTTGGGACCCTGTCCATCATTAGGAAAATGCTGAAAACTGAACAGATTGGGGAGGAATTTGGTGTGAGGGGAGACGCTGGCCCAAGAAAGCTTGCATTTGAAAATGGGGTGGATGCTCCCAGGGGCTGCAGAGAAAAATGATTCAGAATAATTCACCAGCTCCTCCGTTCTAAGCTTCCTTCATCCTGATCATGTGACCCACAGCACGTCTGGTATTAAGGGATTGCAAAGAACCCCAGAAGCCGCATTCTGCAGGCTTCCTCTATTTTGTTCTATGAGCAACTCTTGTGAAGATGCATAGAGCTTAGAGGTGGCCCTAACTAAGAGATCTGCAGATTTCAGAAGAAGAGGTGCAACAGATTTTGTGCAAGGCAAGTCTTCCAAGTGGGAGTTGATTTGTTTCCATGCCTCCTGCACCACTATGTACATGGTCCTTTCTTGGAAATTGGAATGAAAAGGGTAGATATCATATAGCAAAGTTCTACAACATTTTGGGAGGATAGGTACAAAAGCTGGGGAATAATAATGAATGAGCAGCATTTTGAGGTTAAATTGCATTAAAGCCACAGACGTTCAAGTCATAACCATAAGATGTCCATCCAAGTCTTTGCCTTTCATGCTTCTAAGAGAGAAAACTAGGAAACAGCACCAAAATTTGGCACTGTCAAGCATTTGACTGATTCAACATTTCTCTTCAAAAGCACTGGAGTTCAAGAACTTTGATGAAAATTTCTACAATGGTCAGAAACAGAGCTGTCATCATCCACTCCTCTTCCTTTCCTCATCCTGATGTTTCCCAATTTAAAAAAGTGTGGGGACAAAAGCATTGGTTTTACACCTGAAAGCTCTCCCCAAGGTTTCCAAATCCCCTTTAGTTCTGCATTTGGTCAAATCTGCTGCCCACCTTTAGTGTCTACCAAGATCTAGCAAACTGGAATGATTTGCCCACATTTGGTGATGCATGAAAGATCCCCAGAATAGCTGAGAAGGTAGCTGACCTTTCTGGTCCCCTTGCTGATGCCTGCTTGTAGATATCAATGATGTTCTCCACCAGTAGATTCCGTTGCAAGCCATAGATGCCGTGTCTATCCAGGACAACTTCATGGCGGCAAGATGGGCAGCGGAATCTCCCTGCAGACCCCAGGGTTGTCCCTCGAGACTGTGGTGTACAAGAGACCGGGATGATAGATACATCAGTAGATAAGGTAGGCGATCAGTTTGAGGCAGCTTTGCCGTAGAGTTCTCCATGGAGTATTCAAGTGCAATTGAAGCAATCCAAATATTTATTTAGTTAAAGCTGCCTTTTTTAAGGAAGGAAGGAAGGAAGGAAGGAAGGAGGGAGGGAGGGAG